ATCTTTATTTTTATAAATCTTATAGCCCAAAACAAAAAATTAAGCAAAGATATTTTAATTTTTAACAACTATGGAATGAATGAAGCATTTGATATTAAGGATCCCGATAGTGATTATGATACTTATGATGATAGTACAAGTTCTATAACTATTGAAGAAAGTCTTGCATCTGAAGATACAATAGTTAATGAAAGCATTGAAATACAACTATTTATATGAGATAAATTTGCTTTTAAACAGGCTCAAATATTGGCTAATAAAAAAAAAAATAATGATGATTGTGAAATCGATTGGAAAGATCTAGAACATGAATTCTCTGAAATAGCATTATTTGTAACAGAATCAACAGACAATGAAGGCCTATATTATTTTTTAAATAATCATAAAAAAACCAAAACATTAACTTCTTGTGTCCTTTTACATGTAATTGATGGTCAAATAAAATGATGTTCTAAATTTAAGCAAAAAATACAATGACCTTTAGCACAGTTACTTGGTACCTGGGAAATCGATAGTAAATCATTTGAGTCAGTCAAAAATAATAATGAATTATATACTTTAGGAGTATATAAATCACATTTTATTTTTGATCAAACTGAACTTTATGATGCAAAGCTTAAGAGTATACAATCTATTAAAAAAATTGTGTAAATTATCACCGATACTTATTTTGTAATAAAAACAAATACTTTTTTAGTTGTGGGTAGTTGTCTTCAATATTCTACATGTATAATAGGATGAACTGTACAAGCATCTTGCATGGGTCTTAAAACTTGTTTGGCATTTAAGAATTATAGTAATATTAATTCTGATCATAAATACCAACCTCAATATATCTGTAATCGGTGTTTTAACTTACAAGGTGATCATTTCTTTCAACGTCCAGATATTAATAAGCAACCTGAATTATGTAATAGTAAACATAACGATGATACAATACAAGCACTTGAATTATTAGAATGATTTATTTTAAATGTAGCAGCATCAGATAAATCTAAGCAAAAAGAAGAATTATTAATATATCTTAGCTCAATATTACTTTTTATTGACAAAACCAAATCACATATCAAAAATCTACCAAGCCTTTTATTTATAAAAGCGACTCTACAACTTGGACATATTAATATTATAAAAATAATGGAAAATGATTCTGATCTTACGCCTCAAATATCAAAAAAAAATGGTGAAATATTAGGAATCGCAGTATGGAAATCTAGAAATAAAGTTTAGCAAAACAAAGAAGCTCTTGAAAAACCAAACTCTTTAGCCGAATATCAGGCTGCTTTTCTACAATGCATCTTAAATTTTTTCAATAGGTTAATTACTAAGTTACAAAAAAAAAAAACATGATATTGTTAACAAAAAAAGAAGACAACGAGGATTAGAAATAAAAGCTTTTGATGAAGCCCGAATAAATAAGATAACAATATTTTTTGTTTCAGTAATTCTTTCTATTGCTTTCCCTACTACGGATATTTGGCTTACACATATAATGAGTTTATTAGTACATAAATCTAAATTATTAACTTCACTCTACAGTATTTTATGTACTGCAGGTGTAGTATCCCATACACAATGATATGAAAGAAAATTAAAACAATGTAGAATAATTAATACAAATCTAATTCAAAGACTTATAAAAGAGGAAAATATTTGGAATATATCTGTTATCGATAATATAGACTTTAAAGAAAGTTCATTTAAATATGGAAATATTTTTAATGATACTAGAAATACTTCGTATGCTACTCTACGTATAGTTTTTCAATTTACACTACCATTATCACTTAAATCTTTTAAAGATATTACTACGAATGAAACAATTAACAATAGTAATAGCATTGTTCATAATATCAACAATAATATCGATATTAATATCGATTGTACTTTATTTGGTGAATCAGCCTTTATAAAAAATCAATATAAAAATTATGATGTCATTTTTAATAAACTTATAGAACAATGCTTAAATAATTGGGATATTAGTGATATTTATAACAAACTTATAAAAGAAGTACCTTTAGGATGTCAGGTTTTAGATACAAACTTTGTAATTCTCACACCAGGTGAACAGCCAAACTGTGATTTTAAACATTTATAATTTGTGTGAA